ATTCTCATGGAGGGTTCACGGGCTATCATCTCCGACTTCGGGAACAAATACTCAGAATTGCGTGGTTCTCGTGACAGTGCTATGCATGATCCCGAGTCACCAATGGGAAAGAATAATGTCAAATTTGTCACAAAAAAAAACCGACATATATTTCTTTGGAGTCATCATTATGAATCTAGTTATGCGGGAGGCTAGACTTCCTATAACTATGAAACCTCGACTCCGACTGGAAGGAAAAAAGTTCGAAGAAATTCTGTTTTAGGAATGCTTGTTGAGACCTTGCTAGAACGAAAGGCGTACGCGTAAATTGATACGACTATCCCAAAAATGTTTGAAGCCCTTCTAATTACAAGACTCCCAGCATACATCGTATTTAATAGATTGAGCATCATCATGAAGTCTACTAAGGAATGGATTATGGACGAACATGAGCCGAAAAGGCAAAAGACAAATGCAAGGGAAAAACAAAGTTTTGTGATGTTCATAAATTTTGTCGTTACAAATTTGACACACCCAGTGGGACATATCTACCTCTAATATCTTCTCTTCAGATCAAGGTCAAAAATATTTGAAGATGCATGAAGACCTTTTTGAAGACAATGTACAGGGGCAACTAAGGACATTGTCTCCTTAAGCATGAAGCCGCCGAAAATAGTTGACTTCATCAAATTCATTCAAATAGGGTCAAACAAAAGAGTTTGTACATGTCCTTCTCAAAGCAAAATAAATGGGGGCAATTTTTACATATGGTGATATGATTTATATATGCAACATCTTCAACCGAGTCATCAAGACTTTTGAAATCGATACATGTTTTAACCCATCGTCTCTTCTAACGACATGAGCCAAACATAAATTGGCATCGTCTTCAAAAAGCTCGATATATATTCTAAGTACTTAGCTCAAACTGAAAAACTCGAATCTTATTATCTAATATAACTAGGTTCGCTCATTCGGTTTTAAAACCATTCAAAACTTATTTTAGAATTTACGAGCTGATTTTAAAAATTTATTGTCTTTGAGGCATACTAGAGTTCTCTGAAATGTATCTAAGTTCTAAGTTCGAAGTTAATATCTGACTTTGCTATATTACTCTGATCGGTTAATTTATTTCTCAATTTATTGTTCGACTTTCTCTTTCGAAACTAATTAACTATCTTGATTAACTAATTCCCTTCATTTCTTAATATCCGACTCGTCTAAAGTCCTCGACTATATCCGTAAAATAAATTCTAGATTGGACGGTTCATACAAGGTAAGCATTGCAACTTACTTCAAGATAATTGCCTCCCAATTAGTTACATGAAAACATGAACTCGAACCAACATAATCAAGTCCCTTGCCTGAGCACCTTAAAATTATTATAGACATGCCTCAATTGTTTCACAATTGATTAGATATAGTTTTCCTTCTAACTTCCAAAAATTTAAATACATCATACAACAATATCAAGATATCAACTAATTATTCTTTTAATCTCTTCTTCTTGAATAGTCTAGGCACCTACCCTCGGGATTATCATAATATGCATAAAGATAATCTTAGCTGAAGGAGTTTTTACCTTATCAGATACAATACATATCAGTAATATTAATAAAAATCTTAGGACATTTGTGAATATGCAAAACAAAGGATCAAGCAAATTTTGGTTTATATTTACCACCACACTTTACCACACTTTACATACATAGTCATATTATTATGTTACCACAAACTACAAGCATTTGGAAATTTTTTACTTCTCTTTTATTTTTAAATCTTTGAAATTCTTATAGCATACATATTAAATCCTTTAAGCTCTGAAATTGATCTAATACTCATAACGTTCAACTTGAAATTGGGATAAACCAAGGCTCAACAAGAACTTAACAATTCAAAGTAAAAATTCTATTCTCTTCTCTTGTTTTCCTAATTTACAATTAAATTCTCAGGGCTAATAATTTAGCTCTTCTTACTCTGAACCGTAACATAACTTGCAGCGTAATAATGATAGATAATATAGCTCAACATCATTTACCAAACCAAGCTAAACACCATACGTACATCATGCCTCTCTCATCAAACAATTTCTATAATTTCTTTTACCAAACTTAATTCTACATCTTTGTTGATCATTAGATATCTTAATCATTATTATTGTCCATATAAGAGGTAAAATTGGGTTCAGCCATATACCTTGCTTTCAGGACTAAACAGGTGACGAAACAGGCTCGGGTCCGTGGTCTTGCCAGAAATCGGGCCGTGAAGACTCGACGGCGAGCTGGGAATGGTTCGAAGCTTAGCTGGACGGGTTCAGGTCGCCGGCGGGAAGGGCTGGACGGCGAGCTGAGGTCGCGTAGGTGGTTGCAACGCCGGCGTGGAGAGCTGGACGGCGGCTTGGTGGGCTCGAGGTGTTCTTGCCGGAGCTACAGGGACAAACGAAGCTTGATGGCTGGTGCGACGGTGTGAACTCGGCTGGACTGATGTGAGCTCGCCGGCGGAAAGAGCTGGACGTCGACTTCGCCGGAAATGGATATTCGGGGTGGGGCTGAAGGCCGTGAGCAGCAGGGGAGTCGCGAACCAAGGCTGTGATGGCGTGGTTCGAGCTTACCGGCGCGGTTCGGAGGTGCCTTAGACGCCGGCGGTTCGGTCTAGCCGGAATGTGGGCGGAAGTTGGCCGGTTCCTGAAGGTGAAGGAGGTGGTGTGGTGTGGTGTGGTGGCTAGGGTTTTGATGTTGGGAGGAAATGAGGAGGTTGTGGTATTTATAAAAGGTAGAAATTAGGTTTGAGTTGTTTATTGGGCCTTAATATTGGGTTTTATAATCGAGCTATGAATTAAATCGACTTGGGCTCGATTTAATCAATATTGACTTAGAAATTAAATGTTTGGTTAATAAAATTAATTGAACTCGGGCTAAATAAATCAGTCGGTCGAAGTTATTAAAATAATTGGGTTAGAATTTAAAAATCGATGATAGACTCAAATTTAAAAATCGACTATAGGCTCGATTTCTAAAATGAACTAAAATAAAATCGAACATGCGCTCGATTTACTAAAATAAAATGGGCCGAAATAAAATCGAACATAGGCTCGATTAACTTAAATGGGCCGGCTAAAATAATTGGACTCGCTCGAAAATGATTAGGCTCCAATGGATTAAATATTCGGGCTTTGGTCCGCTAATATAAAATTTTCGATTTATCCAAGGCTCGCGTTTTAAAATAGAACCGATACTTGCGCAAAAGAAATCTGATTTTAATAACTAAAAATTAAATAAATTCTCAATGACTTAGACTTTAATACTAATTACTCAATTTAATGTAAATAATAATAATAAACGCATCAAATTAGGAAACTTAATACGTATGAAAATGAAGTCGAACTCCAAATAGTAATTAATATTCTAGGCGTTACAATGAGTGCCTCGTAGCGATCGAAATTATTCAACCGGCGTACTATAGCACGTACCTTCAACGCATATCGTCGTCTTGCACACGTGTCGCATTCTCGTCCGTTCGTTGGAGCCGAGCCACCGAGTGCGTGCCCGTGCACTGAGTCTGACCGAGCCGCGCCCCTGCGCTCTGTTCAACGCCCTTACGTCCGTCCGACCTACCGTCAACGCGATATTTTCCGTTAGCCGTGGTCCAAGCACGCCCTTGCGGCAGTGACCGTGGCACCTTTTAAACTCGTGAATAGGCAAAGTTGTGTCAGTTGTGTTTGTGTAGGCCCCGAGTTGCCACGCCGAACCCGGACCACAATTAAACCAAGTTGCACATAGTCAAACGAATGATCGAGCGACTCCGAGTGAGCCTTCGGTCCAGTTCAGTCGAACTAGCCAGGGCAGTCAGGACGGTTCGGGAGTTTAGTTCGGAACATCGGTTTGAGCGTGAACCGAGAATCCAGTCTTTCCGAAACAATTAGATAAATTTCGGTCAGATTTAAGTTCAGTTAGAATGTAGACCCAGTCAGATTAAATCCAGTCAGATTGTAGTTCCAGACTTATGTATATGTTTTGTTTGTTTATATTGGTATAATATCAACAATGACTGATTTTTGTGATATCGTGTATATTGTGTATAATTTTTTTCCTCATTTTCTCTCATATGTTTGAATTTTCAAATATCAACTCACAAACAGTTCGGATTGTTTGTTGAAATACAATTTCTTTTTTTTTTAATCCCATCTTAGTGTGATTATAGGCGAGTGGATTAATTAAGGTAACATAATTTTCTGTTTTGTCAACAAATAAAAGCAATACATTAGGCATTAATGCAATTAAGTTGCTGCATCTCGTATTTTTACAATTTTTTTGAAAATCTTGTGGTATGTACAAAAATCTCCCTCTTTTCTTTCTTTTCAAATTTGCCTACCACAAAACTTCAATTTCTCCCCCAATTTGTCTTATCGAAATCTTTCCAAAAAGTTCGAGAATCCAACACAGCCCCCTCCAGCCATGGCCCACAACCCTAATCCGCTCCAAAGCCACTGTGCGGCGGATCCCACTTTTTGGTCCTCGACGCTGAGTGCGAAGGTGATTACCTTCGAGGAAGAAGAAGAACTCCATTTTTCCATTTCTGGATCGAAAGACTTCTCCCCTAGAAACACTCCATTTTCCCACCAGATCACCTCCATTAGCACCAAAACCTCCAAATCCTAGCTCTTGAGCTCTTCAAACCTCCAAATTACAGCTCTTCAGATGATGAACACAGAGTACTGACAACAATGACTTTTGTCCTACTCCCACCAGGTTATCTACAAAGCTCATGCAACCACTTCCAGATTGCTCTCTTCTTTGATTCCTCAGTCCACTAACAACTTCATTCTGACCAATAAATCATTGCAACATCCACCGAAGCTTTTTTAGATACTCTCTAAAGCAACCACAACATATATGTAGACAAAGCAAATCTTTAATACATTTGGCATCAACAATATTACAAACAGAATATGTATGTATTATTCAGAAAAGACACACGCACACTGAGGTGTTATTAAGACCCAAACAAAATAATACAGGTGATTACATGTTCACAGCCTCCTTGTTGACATAAATGTAGCTAATCTGTATCTGTTCACCAGAATATGATGATATTTGCAGCGGCACAAAGCCCGTGTATCCATTATCAACCTTTGCTAAGCAGGCATCCGCTGCATACTTAAAAACAGAGTGTTCCTTGGCAAATGGCTGTGATGCATAGTCCGTAATTGGCATCCACTTGATGTCAACACACGCAGAACATTTGTCAGGCAAAGTTTAATATCATGATTAAACCAAATATCAAAATTAATACTGCATTTTGAGTATTATATTAATTAAAAAAGGTCCTTTCGGCTTCGGCATGTGTTTTGTTTTACAAAGTGCACCTACTTGGGTTAGTTTGAAAAGCAATTACAAATGTAGCTAATTTGAAAAGCAATTACAAATGTAGCGAACAACTAGGTGATTAAATAGCAACTTTTGTAATAATCTTCAAAAAATGAACTGATCTAAGAAGGATACCTGGGCCGCCTCAATTTCTGAGTCCTGTATTTGGATGTCAAAGGATAAGGGACGCAGCATACACAGGAAAAGTAATTCTGATTTGTTGAAGAATGACTTGTGCCTTTGCCTATCGGTGAAGATATGAACGCAAATTGGTAAACTAGACAAGAGTTAATAGTCAATCTAATGATATGACTAAATATATTGGACAAAAGAGTATCTTTTGATGAGAGGATCTCCTCTTGTCTAAGGCAAAGTTTTACCTGAATGCCAGCACATCCATGAATTCTGTATCAATCTGAAATCGAATTAATAATTAAAAAAGGAATAGAACAGTCTCAGAAACAGTAACCATGCTGCGAAAATTTCTACTACACGTATCAGTATATTCACCATTACAATTGCTTACTCCTGTTTCCTCTTTCACTTCTCTCCTTGCACCTGAAAATATGTCTTCTCCCTGGAAATTAAAAAGGATTGTATTAGCCGGAAAATTCCTATGCATGCTCTGAACTGAAACGTCAGTTAAATATCAAACCTCTTCAAGAATTCCTGTAGGAATCTTCCAGATACCCGTTCCTTTAAAGCTACCATGCTTTTCCAGTACAACAAGCAACTATATATGAGAAGTTGCGATAGTTAAAAGCAGAGGGACTAGCTAATCTTTAAAGTATCAATAATTGTTTGCATAATATATCTTCACTTAAATACAAACAGTTTCAAGAAGAATTTTAACTGGAGAACTAAGTTGGCTTTACTCTTCAACAATGAGGATCTTAAGTGAACAGTGTACTACTTAAGCATATTGACAAGCAAGAACGAAATGTGAAGCACGTCATGCAACACAAAATTCAACTGAGATAACACTGCCAGTGAATGTATGACAACAAACACCTAGTAGAAAATGGAAACTGAAAATACATGCTCACAGTGAAATCCTATCACAGGACAATTGTAAAATTATCACCCATAGAAGATACCATCGAAGATTCAGTCCATTCTTAAAAAATGTATTGAACAACAGATAAATATTAATTATTCTATTTATTAAATTCCTGCTGAATTTGATATAATATTAATCCTTAATTCGTTATGCTCTTCCATTCCAGATTTCTCAGTTCTTCAATACACTTGTTAAGCCTATAAGCACGTAAACATACAAATAAACGCATAAAGGTTCTTCTCAAAAGAGTAACGACATGATTAACAGCATGATGCTGTTGGTTTGTGGGAAGATAATAGAGGCCTTCTCCTATGATGTTTTTATTGACTGTGTTCAAACAAATCCAGTTTTGTGCAGCAAGGTGCGGAGCGGAAAAACATGAAGCCATAAGAGAGGATAGAATACACATGCCATCATATAAAAGAAGTGCTATCATGAAGAATGAGATAAACTACCTCTCTTTTATCATTCATAATAATAGCAGCAATGCGGATCCTGTGTGTTGCATTTGCTGGTATGGTACTAAGAGTTTTCGGGATCCAGTGCACAAGCATCAAATAGTGAGGTTCTGCATGGTGATACAGAAACCCTTCCTGCTATGTTAAACATTTATGCTCTTAGAAAAAATTGACCAAGCGTAGTTAATCATTCCTAATACTGGAAATGACAAAACATTGCAAACTAATTTTTGGACTGACTAGAAAAATAGGACTCTCCGTGGTAGTTTAAAGTGAATTGCAAAGACAAACCAGAGTTGTCCATATCTATAGTTTTACAATTTTTAGAGCTACTAATTTTGCAAGTTTGGAATTTCCGAATGACAGATATCATATGTAATTCCCTCTCATTGTAGATAAGCACACATCTTCCATTCTCATCCACAATAGCTCGTAAAACCAGGTCTCACTCTGAACATAACTCTCCTCATCCACCTAGGGAGACTTCAAATAAAACATATAATTCCATACACAGTCAGGGAAGTCCCGACATTTTTCAATATATGAAACTTTGGGAGGGTCTTTTAGGCCCAGGACACAATAAATATACAGGAATACCAACACACAGCCTGTTTGACATTCATGTTCCTACAGCATGGAATTAGAGTATATAAATGGTTGAAATTAAACTGAACGCAAACTTGTTCTCAGAATAACAGGCCTACTGGTCAGATGGGCAAAACATTCAGGCACTGTAATGAAAGGATCAACTACCTTTACTGCAGTTTCAACAAGATTCACAAACTTAATTGGCAACTTGATCCAAATCCCCTTCTTACCCTGTAAATTAATTGAACAAAAAATAAGGGAAATATGAGAAAAGAATACATACGCATCTATGTAACGCTACTATAATATTAATGTTGGGTCAGGGTCCATGCAAATTAGAAATTTAATACTGCATAAATCAAGAAATCTCGAACAATATATTTAGTGGATAATGGACTAATAGTTACATACATTAAGGGAATTAACCAGCTTTTGTGAAGTTTAAAAGTTGGGTAGTTCTCTTAAGGCTACAGAGATGCATAGAAGAATGCTTTTATGCTATCTTACATACAGATCTGCATGAGATGGAAAACAAAAGGCAAAAATAGGCTGCTTACACCAAACGATACGAACACACGCATTAGATAACACTGGCAACTGGATCCCTAACTTTGGTGAATGCAGTTATTGTCTCAGTCAGCATTAGTTGCTAAGGGATTGTGATAGCACAAGAAGAATTTCTACGAGTTTGGGGATTCCTCAGTCAAGAGATCAAGGGCAGGCAAGGTTCTCCTTAGACAGTAATTAATTCAACTCTGCAGTACAAAAAATCTCAAAAGGCACTAGCCCCACTACTAAAGAAGTTTCATGTGATAACTGAATGTCTGGTCTGGTGCCTTCGGTTATCTAAAGTTTCTCAGTCACATCATATTATCTCAATTACGTAGTAAAGGATAACAAAGAAACCACTAGAAAAAGTCTCGTATGAGATCATGGAAGAGTGCGATCACCCAATTAAAATTTGAGAACACCATTTCCTATTTCATGTTATTTAAAAATGTTCAATTTCCCTGGAAGCTGATTTATCAAGCCAGGAAAACTCACGGGAAATTAAATTTTTCTGAGATTATACAACTGAAATCAATGGGCTTTCATGTGCTAACACATTTGCATTATGAACCCATTGCCAATATTACCAAAGTTTATTAATTGCTATGAACATTTAAACTATCATTCATTCTTTTTAAATTAAAAAAGGATCTAGATAAAAACTAAATAAAAAATAGTGTTATAGTGTATCTGGATACCATTCTGAGGGCATAAGTCAATTTCTTGGCCTAATTAAAAATTTTCAGCGCCCCACCCCATCCACCAAAAACAAAAAGGAACGTTCATACTGGGGGCACATACCCCCAAAACAGGAGCACATTATTGTCTACTTTGTATCCTAGATTTTGAATATTACCAATAGTAACTGAAAGCATTTAGCATAACATGGAGAGAAAAAAGTAAAATTCACAAATACCTGTTGCTCCCAACGTGAAAGTGAACATCTGAGGATCATATTGAACTTGTCTGGGTCCATAGGTTCCTTAATATCCACCATGACCCCTCCATGCTCATCATCGACTGCATGAAGCAACGAAACCTCGTTGGTCCCATTTTCCAATTGTTCTTGATCCATTAGACAACCTAAATATAAGAATCCAAGTCAGTTCCCATGACAAGAACTTCTACTTTGTTAAAATAAAAAAAGGCGATGATACAAAACACACACAGATAAGAATTTCCAATGCATAAATTGTTTAGTTCAGTTACTTGTCTCAAAAAAAAACTCACAGGAAAGAGGAAAGTGGAATTTGACAGTAACTTAGATCTGCCTTTTATCATTGCATCCCGCAAGTCCTAATCCGAGATTTCAAATTACTCATACATGCTACACCATGAAGCATCTCAACTCTTTGAAAATTTGTTAGTCAGGTTCAAACTGATTGTTTGAGGTTATCCAACATTTTACCAACAACTTATCGAATTCAACACATCCGCACACAACAACGACAGCAACATCGACACATAAGGTAATATTAGCAAGCAAATCCACGAACATCATGATAAAATTAAAAAAAAAAAAAAAAAAAAAAAAAAAAAAAAAAAAAAAAAAAAAAAAAAAAAAAAAAAAAAAAAAAAAAAAAAAAAAAAAGGAAAGCAAATAGTACCTAACAAATTCAGGTGCAGGACCACAAGAGAGCAAAGTTCAGGGCATACTATTATGATAATGTAAAACAATAAAGAAGTTTGAAGCACTAGATCAAAATCAACACAAAGCAAAATATATATATATAATCGGTAAAGTTATCGAAACAGTATAATTTGGGAGTGGCACGCCTCTGAGACGACGGCGACCGGCGAGTGCAGCATAATTGCTTCAGTATTTATGCACATCATTTGGTGCGGGGAGAAAGTGGGCATAGATGGGACGTCGATCCACTCACTCAACTTCTGGTGGATCTGAACTGTTCCGTTGCCCCTATTATTAATTAATTGTTTTAAGGGTGGATTTGGTTGGCTTGATTCCGACATATATCCCTTGGAATTAGGGGCGAAGCTAGAAAATTAGTTGAGATAGGGTAAAAGATATGACATAATGGGTTCAAAATCGATATCAAACCGATAACATTTCGGTAACCGATAATATTTCGGTAACCGAAAATCGGTTACCGTTATATATAAGTCGATTCGGTTTGATTTATTTTCTCATCGGTTCAGTTCGGTCCGATTTTCGATTTTCGGTCAAAAAATACCAGCTCAATACCAGCTCTAGCCTGTACAATAAAAGAGAGTTGAAGTCTTTTATATGGGCTAATTAAAATTGTAGCAGGATAATAATTAATTGTAAAATAAAAGAAGTGTTGACTTGCTAATTGACAATTGTGGACAAGTTGACCTAATAAGTGAAAAACAAAAAATCAAGGGTGCAAAAATAAATCTAAAATGGGACAAATTAAAATTTGTAATATTAATAGTAAAAAAATTAAAATTTGAGGGGGGCAATTGCCCCCTTACAACCACATGTAAATTCGCCCTTGCTTGGAATGCAATGCATTATTGATCACCATGTAGAACAACTTGTTTGGTTTCCCCCAAAGATTAGCTCTTGAAATGAAATGCGTCATTTTATACCTCAGTATCTATTGCTCCTTTCTATTCATAATCTAAATCTATATAT